AGCTGGGCATGGTGTCATGTGCCTGTGGTCTCAGCTAGGTGGGAGGCTGTGATCCAGGTATTGCTTGAGCCTGCAAGGTGAAGGCTGCTGCAGTGAGCTGTGACTGCACCATTGCACTCCAGCCTGGGTGACACAGCAAAACTCTGTCTCAAAAACAAAAAAAATTAAGAGCCTTCTTATTTTTTCACCATCTAGAATAGTTCAAAAGAATGTTAGAGACTTCTGTTTCTTAAAGATTTGATAGAATTCTCTTGTTAAACTACCTAAACTCACTGCTCTGAGGGAGGTATTAGCACTTTAACAATTCTATTTCTTTTAGAGTAATTAGTCTACTTAGAATTCCTAAATTTTTTGATGAAATTTTGGTGATTTATCTTTTCTAGAAAATGAATTTCACCTACTCAAGTTATTAGTTAGAATTACAGAGAATTCAGTAAAGTGGTCTCTTATGAGTCCTAAAATTTCTCCCTTTATCATATCTTACAGTGTTATTGTATTCTTTATTTGTTAAAATTAGGTTAGAAAATAATTGACATATATTTATGTATTCACTTATTTATAGCTCTTGGATTTTTCATTACTGTCTTTTTTTAGTTTTCTAATTAATTTCATGTTTTATGCTTAATAATTCATTCCTTCTGTTATTCTTGGCTTTACTTGATCTATTTTCCATTATTTTCCTTTGGGTGATCAGTTCAAATATTTTTAGTTTTTTCTCCTTATTAATATATGTACTCAGGGTTATGCGTGTTTCTTTGAGTTCCCCTGTAGATGTGACTTGGTGGTTCTGCTACATAGCATTTTAATTATTGCTATTTTCTAGTTTTAACAAAATTCCACTTTTGATTTCTTATTAAACTATGAATCGAGAAAAAGCCTTTAAGTTTCCAAGTGGTAGGAATTTGTTTGTTAGTTTTATGTTTTAGTTTTATTACTAATTTCTAGTTTTGTTCATTATGATCAGGGCATTTTATCTTATTGTTTCTAATTTGAGGAATTAATTGAGGTTTTCTTTGTGGCCTAATATTTTCTTATGTGTGTATTTCTTTCAACAATTTTTAATGTTTGTATTTGTTCTAATGTTCTCTTTTTTATAGAATATACTTAGTCTTCAATTTCTTAAATTATTTTTGACTCTCAATTTTCTCTGGGATATTTTTTTGATTCTATAGATTAAAACACTTTATTCTGGAAAAGTTTTCTTAACGTGTCTATATATATATATATATATATATATATATATATATATACACAAATATAAACACATTTCAACTGTTTTATCTTGGAGATACCAATTAGGCATATGTTGGATCTCTTGGTTTGTTTTCCTTATCTTTCATTTTCTCTCTGGCTCTTATAAACCTCTGCTTATTCTGTTTTGATTTATTACATTTCTCAGTCTTTTGACTGCTGTGTCTTGTTAGGTTACCAGTTTCTCTGTTTCTCAAAACTGCTGTCAAGGTGGCTTTTGTTTCTGTGATGGTTTAAATTCCTCTTCCAAATATTTTCTGAGTAGTACCAACTTGTTTTTACCACCTGTTGTTGGTGAAATATAGTTTCCCTGAGTTCTTGCAGCTACGTTGAGATCATATTCTGTCAAGGCGATTTGCTTAATTCTTTTTTTTTTTTTTCTGAGACGGAGTTTTGCTCTTTTCACCCAGGCTGGAGTGCAATGGCGTGATCTTGGCTCACCGCGACCTCCGCCTCCTGGGTTCAGGCAATTCTCCTGCCTCAGCCTCCTGAGTAGCTGGGATTACAGGCATGTGCCACCGTGCCCAGCTAATTTTTTGTATTTTAGTAGAGACGGGGTTTCACTATGTTGACCAGAATGGTCTCTATCTCTTGACCTCATGATCCACCCGCCTCGGCCTCCCAAAGTGCTGGTATTAACAGCTTTGAGCCACCGCGCCCGGCCTGCTTAATTCTTTTAAACACATGGTGATGGGCTATAGATCACACTTTTGAGCTTCATAGTAACATTTTTCTAGTTGATGTTTGTCTTTCATTTATGTAAGATTTATGTCTTTTCCTTTTATTACAGTGTTTTCTTTTAATTGATCTGGGTGCTGGCTTTTCTTTTTTTTTTTGCTTATAATTATATTTGAATGAAGCAAATTATTTCTGGTCCAGTTAATTGCAGAGTAACACACTGGATGGCAAGGCTATGACCATGTTAGCAGGAATTCTTCATAGGGCATGGCCTGTTCGAGGGCATTCTTTCCAGCCTTTACTTTGAAAGTCATCTGAAATGCGCAGATGCAACTCTGCCCACAGTGCTGAGTATTTCTTCTGCCTCCTGCCTTGTTGACAGTCTGCTTCCTGCATAAATGGCGTGTCTGATTCCCCATCTAGCTCACCACATCTTGCTTTCCTTTTCTGCCTCTCAGTTCATGGAAGCCACCTACTCCCCACCTCTCCCTGCTGTCCCCAACAAGGGAAGTTCACTTGCCTTGGGCTCTTTGCCCTCTAACCCTTGTCTAAAGCCTGTGGCCCTGGAACCCTTTCTCCAGTAAGTGTAGATTCAGCTTCCGTCCCTCGTAGGTTACAGTTTGGGTTGCCCTGGCCTCTAAGTTTTGTCACAACTTGCAGATGAGTTTAGCAAGAGGGTTAAAGTATCTTTTTTTCTGTTTCATATTAAAACTGGAATTCTCCATCATATTTTAAGTCTTTGTATTTTAAATATAGAAGAGTTCAAGTTTTGGGAAGTGTTGTGCTGTTACATGTGTAATATTTGGTATTCTCTATTGGCATATATTTTTTAACATTTCAAGGGTTTTGTTAAATATATAATTTTACATAGCTTATTCTTTATAGCTTAGATTATCAAATAAAATGTTTTGATATGAAGAAGCAATGATGTGATTTGTGAATTCTTATTCTCAAGTATATTTTTTCTATATAAATATAATTTTGATAGATTTTATGTGAAAATCTTTTTAAAACTTTCAATTTCTAAATTGATGCCCCAGCTTAAAACTCTCGAAATATTTTGTGTTGTGAAACATATCCATTAATATAAAAAGACACAATTTCCCTTTCTGTGATTCAGATATTAAGTTCCATTCTCATCTCTCTTTTGTACCATCAGGTGGTGCTAAATATGTCAAAATCTTAATGATGAAATTTTCAGGAATACTCTCCACATACAGTTAGTTGAGGAAGGATCTTTGGGTTGACTGACATGATTATTGCATCTAAATTAAAAATAGCATGATTAGAAACTACAACAGTTTAATGTAATTACACAAACTGCAGAGATGTATTAAGTATCAATAGCATTTTTTATGTTTCAATGTGAATAGCATCATATGCAAAAGTGAGTCTGTGACCCTGTGTGAAGAACTGCTGTGACTTCTGTAATAGTTTCTTTCGTTTCGTGTGGATGAGGATCCAATATTTAACACAGAATTTACATCACCTTCCTTCACGTCATTTTGCCCCTTTGTTCTTTGGTAAGTTAAAGTTTGCTGAGTTTGTTTATCTAGCATCGGCATATGTGATTTCTCCATGTCGTATTTGATCTGGGCTTATTGCATTAGCCTCAACCCTTGGATGGAAAATGATTTCTGTAATTTGCTTACCTGAAGAGCTTGGACAAGGAGCTTCAGGTAACTGCGGCCTCAACAATTTTTTCTTTTAAATTTACACTCTGCTCATTATGGAGGTAGAAATGTAATAGACCTTCCAAAAGGGAGCAGGTGACTTTTAGTGTCTCTTGAACTTGAATTTCAGTGGCCATATAGTATATCACATAGTTTGCAGTTAGCAGCAACATAATTACTCAATTTCTTGTGAAAACAGAGAGAGGGCATATGTTATTTATTTCCAAATCCCTGGGGAGTGCTTATACTCATTCAGTGCTGTATTATCCTAAGAGACTTCCTTTTAAAAAGTTAAATGACACTTCTTATATCACAAAATGAGAGCAGAGTCATGAATGCAGATATTTGGTGATTCCACCTTATAAAATTTTAATGTGTCCTTAAAATCATTAAAAGGCTTTCATAACTTTCTTGTTCAGCTGTCACAGCTGGGCAGTAGAGAACAGGATGTGTAAAGTGCAGGTGCAGGGAAATCATTGCTAGGACCAAGTTGGAGCTGGTTTGAGGTAGAGTGGAGATAAGAAGAGGTGGCCAGTCTTGCCTCTTCTGCAGAGGTGGCTCATATAGAAAGTGTGGGAGACTTGCCGAATAACATCTCTTTGTTCTTATAACCCCTCCCTGGCATACCCTGGGCCATCCTAGCCTTTGGCTTTTGCACAGCCCCTGTGGCTCTTGTCTCCTTCCCACCTCTTCTGGCTCCCTCAGCACTGGGTCTCAGTCACTTTCTGAAGGGACTAGTTCAGCATTCTTCATGCTGATGCTTGGGGACATGCTTATGATGGCAGAGGCCAGAAAAGGCCTGGTGCTGCCTCAGATCCTGTGTGGACTATGGCATGGCAGAGGACAAAAAAGGAAAGGAAAGAATGGAAGTGAGCAACAGAGTGAGACACTCCTCTTTGTGTGTGCCCCACCTGTCCTTGAAGGAAATGTGCTTGTTTCACCTCTCACCTGCCTTTAGGCTCTGGGGACCAGAAGGTTAGTGGAGACATCTGTGCATCAGCTGCTCAGTAACTGAGATGGCTGGGTGCCTCCTGCACCCAGGGACTTTAGTCCCAGCCAGAGTGTGCTGGGTGGCATCACAGGGAGATGTTTGGGGCACAGTGTCTTCATAGCATCCTTTAAATCACACTCTTGGCAGCTGCTTGCCCACTTGAGCAAGCGGCCCCCTCAGCTATCTGCTCTCACAAGGAGCTTTTGCAGTGGGTAGATCTTCTGGGGGAGCTCCTTCAAGAGGAGTTGATAGCCCAGCTCCAGGGTATCCCAACAGATTCCAAGCCTGGCCCTCTCCCAGGAACATCAGGCATGTGCAGGCTAGTGCTTTACAAGCATGCAGAGTTTACTTTTTTTTTTTTCAATGTCCATGGCGTTACCGATTCTCCCTTTCTGAGACATCATCAATGAATTAAGTATTTTAGTTATACCAACTTCTCTGGAGTGTTTCTGCATCTTTGATTTTTTGCATCCATCTGTTTGGGAGCTTACTGCTTAAGCAGAAAATGGCGGCACCGAGAGGGACTCAAATTCTGTATGGCAACTCTTGGCCCAATACGAGACCCTGATGAGGGGGTGGGAGAGGTGGTGACATGTCCAGCTTGTGCAAGACGAGGACTGGGTAGCCCCTGAGTAAATGAGGGAAGGAACCAGGAGGAGCAGGACAGAGAGCATTCCCCTGCAGGCCGGGGAGGAATTTATAAGCAGAAGCTCAGACTTGGCTGTTCCTAGGGAAGCTGATGGGTGCTGGCTGAGGTTTTCTGGAGAGGATAGGTGGAATTAAACTTGAAGGCCAGAAGGATTAAGATGGCTTCCGTCTGGGAGCTTCTTCCCTCCCATGCTGTGGGTGGGAGGAGGAAATAGAAAATGTGGCAGAAAGGACAGGCCAGTGGCTGATGGCAAAATCAGGGGCAGAAAGCTGGCCAGGCTTGGGTGTCAGTGGGTTTGTGGGTAGACTTTGGATTTGATGGAGTCCAGGTCTGTCTTGGCGGTTAAGGAGCAGGCTATAGCGGGAAGAGGATGCTCATCCTCAGCACGGTTGCTGTATACAACTGTGTGATAGGTTCACATTTTCTTTGGATGACTCCACTCCCCTTCTGCACTGGTTGTCTGTTGCGGGTCTCACCCTCTTGCAGCCCAGGGGTGAATTCCAGGTGCTGCACTGGTGTTTCTCACCTTCGTCAATCTCGTTAGGCTAAACTCCAAGTGTTATTCAAAGTAGCCAAAATTATTCCCCCCTGTAGGTCTGAAAATAAGGGATGAATCTCTATTGATAAATAAAGCAAGCACCTGTAGACCTCATGCTGGGGAATAGGGACTTAACTTTTGATATGTCAGATTTCTCAAAGCCAAGGGTAGATCCAGGTTGTGTGGGGTCTAAAGCTTATTTAGTTTTTGGTGCTCTCTTAAAAAAAAAAAAGTACAGTTTGTCAATACACAACGGGGTATGGGCATTAAAATGTATTTAGAATGGGAAAAATAACACAACAAATTAAAAAAGTTGACAAATGCCACTGTCACGGCAGAAACCCCCACAAACAGCACACTGTTGCTGCTTAGCTGTCCATCACACCTCTACAGTGTATCCTCTTTCCCCGGATGTTTGGCCTCATGTCCTGTGAGTGCCTCTTCATATGACAACAGTTTGTAATGTTGTTTTCTTTTGAGTGAGTGGAAAGAATTCTGTCTTTCTTCGGGTGTGGCTGATGGAGCTTGTTGTGGATTCTCGGTAGTTTACGGAAGTCCCTTTCGCCTGCAGGACTCTTCACCGCTGGTGACATATTGGGACCACCCCGGCCATTTCTTGCTTGCAGAGAGCTGCTTCCCAGAGATGACCTTGGGCGACTGTCTCCTGTGGGCCTCTCTAGGCATGGGCTGCTGCACTGTTGCCTCAGTGGCTGGTGCTGCTTAGCTAGGTCTGTGCACCACCCAGCCCTCCAACTCCCGCTGTGATTGGGGTGAGTTGGCCCTGGAGAGTGAGACTGGGTGTGATAGCTCCAAACCCGGAGCAGGACCAGAGCAGCTGCTTATTCAGATACTTCCTGTTGGGGTCAGAGACAGGGGCTGGACACTGGTGTGGTATAGAGACAGTGCTGCAGCATATTGACTCTGCCCCATGCTCAGGACCATCACCAGGGGGAAGAGGAACACCCCAGGCTGGGGCACAGCTGCACACTTCCTCCTCGCCCTCCAAGGACAGCACGCAGGGCCGTGCAAGGGACCTCATCAAGTAAGGGACCTGCTGCTTAGGCTGCATTGGCAGATGGTATCTGCCTACAAAGCCATCCTTGGCCGGCATGACCCTTTCTGAAAGAGAAGACGGATGAGGGATGTTTTTTTCTTCCCAAAGCCTATGGTACAACAACAGAGATGAGATGTGTAAACGTCTAGCCTAGAGTCTGTCTCATGGTAACTGTTCAATGACTGGCAGCTACTATGATTATTAGCAAATTACCATGTGCTTTAATCCTTCTCCTGTGAGTTTTGTCTGAGTCTATTAGTTTCCCAGAGCCAGCTTACCCTGGGGAGAAGTCACAAAGCTAAGAACCAACTTTATGGCCTCTAGACTCAGTCACTGACACCCGTTTGCTGGGACACTTTGAACCTGGGTGTGGGTCCTGCTCCATGAACATGGTGTGAATTACCCTGTAAAATAACTGGGGTTGTTCGTTCTCCTTGCTGCATGGGTCCTGCAGGGAGCACTGGGCAAGGGCCAGGGGAGGACACGGGAAAAGAAACATGGCTCTTGCCTTCATTGATTACCCCAGCGTTGAGTGGATTCAACATAGTGTTAATTAAGGCGTTTTGATTGCAGGTGACAGCAATTCTTTTCTATAGCTTAAGCTATAGAAAGGAGGGAATTTTTTGGTTGATGCAATTGAAAAGTGTCGGGGCAGAACCGTCTGGTTCCAGCGAGCAGAACTAGAGCGATGGTTACTGAAATCACCGGGATGAACCTGTCCTCTCCCTGCGGCTTCACACTCAGGGGCATGCTCCCCGCATGGCGGATCCAGGAGATTTCAGGCTTCCATCCTCTCAGGTCAGTAAGCCAATGGAAAGCAATCTTCAGTCTCCTGTTTTGTCTCCAGCATTCTGGAGGCCAATGCTCTGACTCTAATCGGCCCATATTGGGTCACATTCTCCCTTGACCCAGTGGCTGTGGACAGAGTGATGGAATGCTCTCATTGTCTTGGTCTGGGCACCCTGTCCTTTCTAGGAGTCAGGACTGCTTGCCAGCCCCGCCCATGCTATCTGGACTGAGAGGGCTTGAGAGGACCCTAAAAGGTCAGCATGGTCCTTTTCCCCAAAGTAGAAGCCATAGGTGTTAGATAGGCAAATATTACAATATACACAGCAAGGCAATGCACAGTCAGCATAATCAGGCTGTCATCACTGACAGCGGCATTCCATATAAATGATCATCAGTTCACAGTGCATAGCGAGTGACCAGTGAATGTTTTCTGATTCAATCTGCCATCAGATTAGAAGTTCTGGGAGCATAGACCACTGAATTATTGTCATCTAACATATTGCTTAACATATATAGGATTTTATAAGCATTTGTGAAATGAATTTGCTATAATATTTCACAGAGAGGAGGCACATCAAGATAGATTCCTTTGATTTGGTTCCCTGGGAAACTGAGAATATAAGATTCTGGGGGTCGCAGGGTTGTATTCTTCTGGAAATACAATGCAGATGTTTTCCCTGCATTTGTGAGTTTTTAAATTAAAATTTGAAGGGAGCCATGAGTTTGTGGCCTCTGGTAACAAATTGCCAATTCTGTGAGTATTTGTCAAACTTATTTATTTATGATGTCTTATATTTATATACTGATATTATATTGCAGAATTTCCTTGGAGACCATGACAGATGGATTTCAATATATGTTCCCCTATACAAACAGCGTGCTAATTTTTCCTGATCAGCTCCTTAGCCTCTTTTCATCCTCACCTGTCTGTACACCCAGATCCTTTCTCTAGTCCTGCATTCAGCAGCCACGTGACAGCTGGTATCAAAGTTAGAGGTGGTGGGGGCTGAGTGTGGTGGCTCATGCCCATAATCCTAGTACTTGGGGAGGCCGGGGCAGGTGGCTCACAAGGACAGGAGTTTGAAACCAGCCTTGCCACTATGGTTAAACCCCGTCTCTACTAAAGATATAAAAAATTAGCTGAGCAAGGTGGCGCACGTCTATAATCCCAGCTACTCAGGAGGCTGAGGCAGGAGAATTGCTTGAACCTGGCAGGTGGAGGTTGCAGTGAGCTGAGATTGGGCCACTGCACTCCAGCCTGGGTGACAGAGCTAGACTCCATCTCAAAAAAAAAAAAAATTAAGTTCGAGGTGGTGCTTCCTCCTGCAGGTTCTCATAGCATCTTCATCCTCTGCCATGATGTTTCTCACACTGAGGGCCACTTGTTTTGCCAACTAGGCCACAAGGACACATGGATGCCTGTGCCACCTGTACCCAGCACCAATATCCCACACATATTAAGCATTAAAGGAAATATACATGGGTCAAAGCATGAATATGTCTCATTTGAGGAACGTTGCCTTTAAAAGATGGTGAGGGGACAGCTAGGGATTGCTTTGGGAAAAATTCTATGGAATGAAAGCAGAGCAGCTAAGTGTATGCTAGACAGTAAACAAGCGGGAAGTCTATTTACTGAGCATTTATTACTCAGCACTCTCGGGTCCTGTGGCATCACAGAATATAAAACTGAGGCTTCCTGGTTGAGGAGCTCAGCATTGTTTGAGAAGGCATTAGGAGGAAGCACGTGGTGGCATGGCTCGCAGTCCACATGACAGCAAGGCAGGGGCTGCTTTCTCCTTTCATGGAGTGAAGAGTTCTGTGGAGGAAGTGGGCCGTGAGCTGGGCCTTGAAGGCTGATTTATAAGTTAGGATTCTTCCAGAAGCAATGACAAGAACCTAATTCAAGCACATTTAAAGTTAAAAAAAAAAAAAGGATGGAGGAAGGGCTTTAATGGCTTTGCTTAGTGAAATGTGCCAGGGAGTTGGGAACGGAGAGCTGGGTTGGCTGGCATCATCGGACCTGTTTGCTCTCTGCATTGCATGGCTCTGGCTTCCTCTGAGACTTTGTTTTCAGGCTGCTTCCATGTCACCCCCAGCAGCAAGTGTTCAGGCTTAAATCCAATGGGCTTTAATCACTTGTGACCCTCATCAAACCCCAGAGGATGACAGGATAGCATGCTCATTCCCAGAGCCAGGGCAGGGTCAGCAACCCCACCTGTCGAGGATGTGCACTGAACAGTGAACACGTCAGTACATGAGTGACTGGACACATTGATGGCAGGATTGACTGGAGTTTGGGGAAAGCAAAGGCCTAGTGTGTAGAGAGACACATGACTGGCTTCTGTGGCTATGAAGGCTCCCATTTGAAACCCCAAAGGAGGTCCAAACACTGGCTCTCAGATGCTCTGCCCTCCACAGTCTCCAGTGCTGAAACACACAGTGGGACCCGGACTTGGCCCAGCACGTGACGCCCGTGGGGCATGAGGATGCATGGCACACAGGCTTTCTATAACTGAGCAGGTACTATATCTACTCAAGGCTTAGGCTTCTGGACCTCAGTTGGCCTTGGATGCCTGAGGTCAAGAGTGGGCTCAGGTGCATTACAGAAAACAAATAAGGATGTGGCCAAGCTGGGCTTTCAACCCTGAACTCCAGACAAAGCCAGGCCTATGTTCCTGATGAGATGGCTGAGACATGCGTGCATCTCCGAGTGTTAACACCCTAGCCTCATCTGCACATTCTTCTGCCTATATTCTTGTCTTCTAAAATGTAGCTGTGACCTTATTTATTCCCATCTGAGTTGTTGACCCAAGTCTGGTTCCTGACAATGCCTGGGACAGACTGCCCTGCTTGTCAGAAATTCTTGGATCAGAGTTCACCGGTTCAGTTACACAACAGGCTGAGCCCGTATTTCTTTTATTTTCCAGAAACCATAAGAAATCATGTCACATTAATTGCTGAATGGCAGAAATGATTGTCTAGAGTGTAGACTTTGCCATATTCTGTAGTTGGGTTTGAATTGCAGTTTCCTGACTATGGACCTGTGTGAGCTTGGACATTGGAAAGGGTTTCTTAGCATTTCCAAGACAATGGTGATTTCACTCTGGCACCACCAAAGTTTCGCCAAATGACTTTTGCTAAGTGTTTGTGTCATGGAATGTGACAGGAGTGATAATGACTGTAATTTGTGTAAATCACTCAAGAAATGTTGCTGATAAAAAACACTTAAAGGTGTTACTTTTTGTTTTGGTTATGGTTATTGTTACTTAACCTCCCTACACCTCACATCCCCAAGTAGGAAATGCGACTATTATTCTAAAAACCTGGGCCGTTGTTGGAGAAATAGGGGACGTTTCCTAGCTAGCTCCAATCTTCTGTCAGCGGTATTAGTTAAACTTATGGCACTCACCTGTTTGGTCATTTCAGTAATGTGATATAAAAAGAAATGATATCAGAATGGTGGGATGGTGGTGTGTGGTGCGTGTGGTATGTGTGTGGTACATGTGGGGTATGTGTGTGTGTGTATGTGTGAATGCTCTATTGTAATTGATTTCCTCCTGTGTTTTGAAAAATGCGATGGCTCCTTGATTTCACAAGCCCAGTCCCTTCTGTGCACCCCCATCACAGGTTGGTAATTACACCCTTGGCAGTTGGTATTCCCTAGAGATTAATGTTTGGTGCCAGCTTTAATGTTAGAGCCATATTTAGAATATTCATTATGCTAATAATGTTACACCATTCATCCGATGTATATTTATGTATGAGAAGATATGATAATTCTGTGTGGCTGACTTGGAGCAGGCAGACTGGTGTATCACAGGAAACACTCTTTTCCTCATCAGCAGAGATAGGAAGGAGGAGGAAATTAACATTAACTCAGGACCTGCAGCATTCCAAGACCTGTGTTGGGTGCTCTGAATACAGGATTTCACTGAACCGCATTCCTATTACCACCATTTTATGGGTGAAAAAGAAGGAGGCTCACAGCAGGAAGTAACTCACCCCCTGGCATGGTCACTAAATGGGGTGTAGGTCAGGGGTTGCTCCCAAGGCTCCCCCCAACATGGAGTGAATCAAGACACCACCTCCCTGTGCAGCTGTGAAAGAGAACCTGGGAGAAAAACCTCTGCTTCCTTCTCACTGTTTTTCTCTTCTCCATGGAGAGAATGGCAGGTATCAATTTTGCAAAGCAGTTGAGGGTTTTCGGCAACAGAGAGGCTGAGACAAACATGAATCATTGTTCTAACACCCCTGGAATCTCAGCATGTAAGCTCCTCCTTACTGAAAAAAATGGGAACGTCTTAACGAGTACCAGCCAGGAGCAGGGTTCAGGGGAATGCCTGAGTTCCCACTTTTGGTAGGTTTTCAGAGTGTACATAGTCATGTAGTTTTTTTCTTCCCTGTTAATTTAGGATAAGGGAGGAGAAAGGACAAGGATGAAGGGGACTGAGAGGGAACTCATTGAAGACTGCAGTCTTTCATCTTCCTGGGAGTGAACTCTGAACATAGGGCACTGCTTACTTCGAAGCCCACATGGGAACTCAGTGGCATGGTGCAGCCAGGATAGCCCTGAGCAGGGTTGGGAGCCCCAGACCCCTTGCTAGGTGACCACAAGAAGTTCCTTCACCTGTCTGGGCTTCTCTCCCCTGACTTGTAAAATGAGACTATGTGAGTCAGAATCCTTTCAGATGCAAGTGACAGAAACTCAGGTTCTGTGAGCTTGAGCTTCCCTCTTGATCTTGGCCTGCAGATGCACTCCCTTTAGGGATAGACCTGGCAGCCACAGCAGCAGACTCCCACCCCGGGGAATGACACTTCCAGAAAAATGAGCTCCTTCCTCCAAGTATCCTTACATCACATTCTGAGGAACGATTCCACTGGTCTTTCCTGGGCACAGGCTTACTCATTTGACTGTGGCCAAGGTGATGAGATTCTCTGGCTGATTTTCACTGGATGAAGGTGGAGAGCAGGGCTGCTGGGCGGAAGTTGCAATGGAGTGGACAGCAGGACTGCTGGGCGGAAGTTGCAATGGAGTGGACAGCAGGACTGCTGGGCGGAAGTTGCAATGGAGTGGACAGCAGGGCTGCTGGGCGGAAGTTGCAATGGAGTGGACAGCAGGGCTGCTGGGCGGAAGTTGCAATGGAGTGGACAGCAGGACTGCTGGGCGGAAGTTGCAATGGAGTGGACAGCAGGACTGCTGGGCGGAAGTTGCAATGGAGTGGACAGCAGGGCTGCTGGGCGGAAGTTGCAATGGAGTGGACAGCAGGGCTGCTGGGCGGAAGTTGCAATGGAGTGGACAGCAGGGCTGCTGGGCGGAAGTTGCAATGGAGTGGACAGCAGGGCTGTTGGGAGGAAGTTGCAATGGAGTGGACAGCAGGGCTGCTGGGCGGAAGTTGCAATGGAGTGGACAGCAGGGCTGCTGGGCGGAAGTTGCAATGGAGTGGACAGCAGGGCTGCTGGGAGGAAGTTGCAATGGAGTGGACAGCAGGGCTGCTGGGCGGAAGTTGCAATGGAGTGGACAGCAGGGCTGCTGGGAGGAAGTTGCAATGGAGTGGACAGCAGGGCTGCTGGGCGGAAGTTGCAATGGAGCGGACAGCAGGGCTGCTGGGCGGAAGTTGCAATGGAGTGGACAGCAGGGCTGCTGGGCGGAAGTTGCAATGGAGTCTACCAGGAGAAAGAACAGTCACTGTGGGTTCTACAACCTGCTTGCTGTCCAGTCAGTTCAACACTGACCAACTCCTCCAACCCAACCATTCCCCTTTCCTTATTTTCTTCCCTATACAGTTTGAACAAAACTGTTTTCCCAGAAGGAAGGAGTTTTATCTCCCTGTTCCGCGTTTCTTCCCTCGCAGGCTTGTTTGATCCCTGGCTGCCTTCTCGCCCCTTCAGTGTGTGCAGAAGATCACCTGCTGAGCTGCAAGGCTCATGCCCAGGAGTCAGGACAGACTCATGATGCCTAAAGACAGCCTGTGTGAGGCTGCTCTTGCATTGCTGTAAAGAAATACTGGAGGCATTTAGTTAACTTATAAAGAAAAGAGGTTTCATTGGCTCATGGTTTTTCAGGGTGTACAGGAAGCATAGTGCCAGCATCTGCTTCTGGTAAGGCCTCAGGAAGCTTCCAATCATGGCAGGAGGTGAAGTGGGAGCAGACACATCACATGGTCACAATGAGCACAAGTGGGGAGGGCAGGGGAGGAAGTGACACACTCTTAAACAACCAGATCTTGCAGAAACTAAGTGAGAACTCACTCATCACCAAGGGGATGCTGCTAAGCCATTCATAAGGGATCCACCCCACAATCCAGTCACCGCCCATCAGGCCCCACCTGCAACATTGGGGATCACATTTCAACCTGAGATTTAGAGGGGACATACTTCCACATCATATCATGTCACTGCCACTGTCAAAGTGGAATGCCTTTAATTTCTCTCCCCACCCCCACTCTCATAAAACACATACCCAGGTTAAAAGAAATCAAATCTAAACCTTTGAATTTTATTATATGATTTACATGCAAAAGCATCTGAGGCTTCTTTATATCTTGAAATACTCAGTCACAGATTCACTTTTAATACACTGCAAATGGAACATCAACCAACCCAAAGAGTAGCAATAATGAGAACTCGCTACATTTAACAAAAGATGAAATAGAAGCTTCGGGGAATAAAGCCAGAAGCAGAGGATAAGACATGAGGGTGGTCATAGTAAGGAGGCTTTGACATCACATTCAACCCTGAGGTTCCTGGAAGCCAGAACAAAGAGAGAACCTGTGACATTTCAGAGCAAATCAGGTTTTCAGTGGCAATAAAGATTTCTCCACTAAGGAAGGCACTGTTAAACCTATGTTTTCTAGCACTATATTCTAAGAGACTTTATGTTCTAATTTCTATAGGAACATCTGTGAATGGGTAAGAGACTGTTTCCTCGACAATAGAAGTAGACTGCACATGGTAAGTTCTAGGACACCTATTGATAGGAACGATGCTGAGGCCCAGATCCCTGAGGATTCATCCAAGGGGGTTTGCGGGACACCTGTTTTATAAAATAAGGCGTGTTGAACATGTCTGTGATGGGCAGTTCAGGAAGCAGAGCCAGAGAGTGAAGCAGGCTGGGGCCAGGTCAGAGGAGCTCTGGAGGCCAAGCTCAGGACTTTGGGCTCTGAGAGGTTGGAGCTGGTCAAAGTTCCAAACAGTAATAGAAGGACATCACCAGGTTGAATGTAATCTCACCTGCTGACTATACAAGTCTGATGTGAAAAGCATGCTGCTTCCTCCATTTCCAGTACCAAGGGCTCCTGATCACCTGGCTTTGGAGCCTTCTGCATCTTGGGGAGAGGGGGCCCAGCCAGCACTCACGGTGAGAACAGAGCTCCCTTTCGGGACCCCATTATGCTGACCCTGCCTTCCCCTTCTAGAAGAAATAAAGCATCGAAAGTCCTGCTTGTGGTAAGATTGCTCGTTGCTTTCTGTGGCCAAAAATGTAGGGGTTCCATCTGCCAGCATTTTGAAATAAGTAGTTCATTTTTTTTTTTTTTTTACATCTGGCCAGAACCCACCCAAATGGTGATATACAAATGTAAGTGTTAATGGTATTTTATATTGTTGTTGTGGGCGTGTGTATGTGTGTGTGAAGTTGACTACTGTGGCAGCCGTAGCCAGCCTGCTCTGAAATAATTCATGTCAAAGTAAAGAGAAAATGCTTGTAAAGACGATTTATAGGCACACACACACACATACACACACACACACACACATACAATTTTTGTGATGAGAATATTTTCAGGCATTTTAGAATGAGAGGCTTCCAGAAATGTTTGAAAGCGATACTGGGCATGAAAGAAAAACCTCTGCTTGGAGCTGCATACGGAGGGCACATCAATCAGAAATATTTAGCATGATTACATGCTAGTATTTATTAAAAATGGGGGGCTTTATTTTAAAGGATTTCTGGGCTTACTGTGCCTAATGTCAGCAAACGTTTGTGTGTCCAGCTCTACCTCTCAGTGACAGGGCTCAACGGTGGGCATTTAGCAAGCTCTGTGCACCTACACGCTGCAGATGGTTTCGTTTTATAAGAGATGAAACTGCATTTGGTGGAACTGATTAAATATAAAAACACCACCATCTGCCATTTATTCTAATATAAAATGGTTTGGGCAGATGCTGACATCTTTCGAGATGATTGATTCATCCCTGACAAGAGAAGACGCTCAGGGGGTTCCAGCTGCCCACCACTCAGACAATACCGGTTTGCAGACGCTGACGCCAATCCCGCCAGTTTGATTTGGATGTAGGAGGTGAGCAGAGAGCACTTTAATGATAAGAAGCAGGGAATTTCTAAGCGCATCACTATCTTCTCCCCACCTCCCACCTCCCCTGGCTTCTGGACTACGTTTAACCAGAATATTTTCTCCACGTGCTCCATCCTATCCTGTGCCTGATTCTCCAGCACCAGGATAACTGGAGGAGTGTTATTTTCAGAAAATAGTCTATTTGCACTTTAGTGTAGAAGGCTTCCAAACACTCTCTATAGTGGCTACTGATGGGTTTAAAATCATCTTTTCTAAGTGGACTAGGGGGTTTCATTAAAGAATATATTGTTTATAAAGAACCCATGTCGCATGCTGTAGACTGACATAAGCGTGCATGTTGCTTAAACATCTGTGGGTGTGCTAGAGCCCTTTGCAAAGTGGTAGTAGATTATGTGACTCACGAAGAATATTTCCCTAACAATTTTTTTTAACAACCTAAATAATTTTGGGAAGAAGGTGGTGTAGGGATCAAGATGTTTACTTGGTGCTATGTTTATAAAATATCTACATAATTGTCACATGTGAAGTCAATGTTTTTCTCTCAGAATTAAAGTCAGAGGTGAAGCTGGATTTTCCTCATCTTGTTCATCACATTTCTAAATATTTACATTCTTTACTAATAATTAGGCACATGATTTAGGAATATTTCTTGATATTATCATTATTTGAGACACGGTTTCACTCTGTTGCTCAGGCTGGAGTGCAGTGGCGTGATGGCAGCTCAACCTCCTGGTCTCAAGTGATCTTCCCACTTCAGCCTCCTGAGTAGTGGGACTACAGGTGCACAGCACCAGATCTGGCTAATTTTTGAATGTTTTGTAGAGACTGGGGTCTTGCTGTGTTGTTCAGGCTGGTCTCAAATTCCTGAGCTCATTTGGCCTCCCAAAGTGCTGGGATTACAGGCGTGAATCACCATGCCTGGCTTTGATATTATTTTAAATGAAATGCGGCAAAGCTATGAATAGCACAATGTGCTCGTGCTCTGATGACATATATTCCTATGCGTATAATCGTGCAGGTTTGTATAGATATGTTTCCATTTTGGTGCTCATAGGAAATTCTGGTATTTTGAGTCAGAGTCCTGTCCGTCCACTTTCTTTCTTTCTATTTTCTCCTGTGCGTCTATTCTCCTAATGCTTTCTAGTCTGGTAGTCAAGGTGGGAGGATTAGATTTCATCCCTTTTCCTGGTGGCATTTTATGTGATTCCTGCACTCAGTGTGCTGGGGACAGCAGCTTTGGGTTCCCATTCGTAGCATCTCTTCCCTGCCTCCTCTCTGCTCTTCTACTCACACTCCTAACCACTTTCCACTCTTGCCAACATTCTTTTCTCTATACTCTCTATGCTGTTATTATTATTTCTTATTCTTTCAGATCATGTCTGAGAAGTCTAGGAGCCGCCTTTTCAAAGTCTCAGCAAACTCTGACCAGGTGGTTTTGTTCCTGCTGTGCCACCTTGAGTCCTCACCCCTCTGCCCTTCTTTCTCTCTCTCACCCTCTGTCTCATTGCCTCTCCCTTGCAGGCTTTCCTCCTTACTCCTCTTCCCTCCTAGAGCACCTACTTGCTAAGACCTCCGTCTGACTTTCTACCAAGCTTCTTATAGTTCATAGAGTCCCCTCTATTGTCTTATGGGTCCTGCCTGCATCCTTAGCACCTGTTCCGTGGGAACCTTGAGGGCAGGGATGGTACCAGTATTAATCTCCCAGACTTCTGTTAGAGAGAGCCACAGCCTGACAGACTCAACAGCAGACACTGATTTTCTCAAAATTCTGGAGGCTGGAGTAGAAATTCAGGTGTGAGCAGGGTTGGTTCCTTCTGAGGGCTAAGAGTTGGGATCACACGGAAGAATAAGCCTCTGCTGTGGTCTGAACTGCTCCCACCCCAAGTAAATCTATGTGTTGAATCCCAATGCCCAAATACCTCAGAATTGACTGTGTTTCAAAACACAGTCTTGGTAGAGGCAATTCAGTTAAAATTGAGGTCTAAGATGGGCCCTAATCCAATATGCCCAGTGTCCTTTTAAGAGAAGAGAATTTGGACAGAGACACACATAGCAGGGGATGAGATGCTGGTGTGAAGAGACAGGGAGAAAGCCATCACCATGGGCAGAAGGGAGCCTGGAAGGGACTTCACACAGCCTCACAAGGATCTAACCCTACTCACACCTTGATCTCCACTTTTGGGCTCCAGAATTGTGAGAAATTCATTTCTGTGGTTGAATTCCTCCAGTTGTGGTTGTCTCTGACTGCAGCCTGGGAGACCAATACAGGTACTGTCCGTGCCCTCAGGGGCCCTGCTTCATTGGCACTAAAGATGCAGGCAGGCAGCCATAAGACAGCAGTGGGCAACTGATTGGGCTCTAAGATGCTTGGTAGAAAGTCAGACGTGAGTCAGGGGTAAGGCCGCCTGAAAAGGGCAGGAAGCCTTGTTGGAGGAGGAAGCATTGAGGTTACAACTTAAATGATGAGTACAAAGTTTTCAGGCAGACCTTCAGAGGAAAGCATGCTGGGCAATAGTGAGTCCTTCCTCAAACTTAGGAGGGTGTGGGAGAGCTGTGATTGTGGATGAGTTTTGTCCGGTCTTTCAGGCAATGATGGCGGCTCAGATGGTACCAGTTCCTGCAATCCGCTACCCTTCATGGTATGACACTGCTACCTCCTGTTATGCTCTGCTTCATTCTGAATGAACAATCTCGGTTCAACGAGCAAATGCATTTGCCTTTTGACTCCAAGATAGTGTTCAAACCTTGGGTTGAAATCTAAGGGGAACGTTGGTTCTGCTATCTATTGCTGCATAACTCAGTCATATAAAACAGCAATATATTGTGTCTTATAGCTCTGTGGGTCGGCTGAGCTCTGCTGGGCAGTTCTGTCTTGGAGTCCCATGTGCTTACAGTCAGGTGGTGACTATAACTAGAATTCATCTGAAAGCCTGTCTGGGTTGGGGTCCCAGATGACTTCTTTCATATGAGTGGCACCCAACTAGGATGGTTGGAACAACTGTGGTTGCCTGGGCCTCTCTCCATACTTCGTCTCCACATGTTAGCTTGGGCTTCCTCATAGCATGGCAGAATCAGGGTATTTAGGCTCCTTACATTGTGGGTGGCTTTCTCTAAAACAAATCTTTCAGGAGACAAATGCAGAAACTTGCACCCTGTCTCAGAAGTCATGCAGTGTTGCTTCCATCACATTTTACTGGCTACGCCAGCCAGCCAGAATGTGGGAAGGGCTGCAGAAGGGCATACGTATTGGGAGCTGTGGTTAATTGGGCAGGGGACACTTTTGGAGAGTAGTTACTACAATTGTGCTTCAGGTAGTAATACTGGGTTTGCACTGAGTTTTACCTTCCTCATGGTTAATGATATGACTCTGTCAATAACCTGATGATTGTCAAGAACTTGAACTGGCAACGGGCACCGCAAAATTGATTTTCTTTGTATACGAAAACTGGACCAGAAGAGTGTCAGATTTGACATCTAAGTCTCCTTAACAAGAGCTGGGATGACTGTGTCCAAGCCTGGAGCTCCCTGACAGTTCAACCAGGAGCCAAAGTTTACCAGTAATGGAGACCAGGAACACGTTTCTGGCCAATTTGATGGCTACAGAATGACCTAAGAAAGGAAGTCTTTTACAAAGCCTTTAACCCTGCCTTTAAGAAGTGAGGGCTCATTTGCATGACCATTCTGCCTCCTGATTAGGGAGTACCCACGAGCTGTCTGGCTCTATGACCCACGTGTCAGCTTGTGAGTAGTATTTGGGGAAATCCTGTCTAAAGCCGGAGCAACTGAATGTAAGTGAAGGTGAAAAATTAAACTGGCTGCTCATTGCTTCTCTAGGAAGTTATCTTTCAATCATAGTTAAAGGATGGCTTCTTCAAAGCAAGTCATCTTGCTGCATCATTGCAAGAGACACGCACATCACCAGGGAGCGGGATGGTTGGAGTTTTAAGCTGCAGGCAGGAACTAATCATGATCTGAACTTCCGCATGCAGCCTTATTCCAGGAACCTTCCTGCCACGCCCTGCTCCCTAGTGGTGGTTCCTCAGGTTGGTACCCCTCTGTTCAAAGACCCACGAATGACTCTCTGCCTAATTTGCACCATTTGCCCTGCAATATTAGTTTTCATTTTTTTTTCTCCTGCAAGCAGATTTCTTCTGCCATATGCTCATTTAATCCTAATTGTGGCGCATGAACATCTTGTGTACTTAGTGTCTGAGCCCCTGGAGGCTCCGTGCAGCTGAGCGCCATGTGACCCGTGAAACTGTGTCAGTCTCATTGGGCAGCTCCTGATAACTTAGACCTCCCATTCCTGATTAAAAATAGGGCAAGTCCAGATTTTTTGTGCACCTTCAATAGGAATGGTACACTGTTTGATTGCTCCCAAATTACATCATGTTTACATATGTGTTAGGGAAAAATCTTACTATGGTTTGAGTGTTTACTTCCCTTTAAAATTCATATTGAAACATAATCTCCAATGTGATGGGATTAAGAGGTGGGACCTTTGGGGCAATGATTGAATAGGAGGGCTGCACCCTCCTGGAAGGTTAATGTCCTTAGAAGAGAGGTTCTGGATAAAGCTGCCTGTCCCTTCTTGCCCTCCTGCTCTTCTGCAGCAAGAGGCGCCTCAATGAGGCAGAGTGCAGCCCTTGCCAGGACCACACCTGCTGGCACCTTGAGCTTGGACTTCCCAGCCTCCAGAACTGTGAGCAATAAATGTCTATGACGTATAAATTACCTAGTCTACGGTATTTTGTCATAGCAGCCTGGAACTGACTGAGAGGGCTGTGTCATGTGTTTTCAGCAGTTCTGTTCCCCTGAGTTCAGGACCCCAGTGTTTGAA